TATATTTATCTAGTGTATGCTACACAGGATAAAAGAGCATCAACCACCAACTCTACCTTTACATGGGCATGTCTTATGGTCCACAAGAAACTTAGAACACGCTTTTTTAAAAAGTAAATTAGATGTGAGGTTCCCAGGAAAACTATCCAGATCTTTAACATCTATTGACTTAGAACAGATGTTGATGATATCTTGATATTATCTCTGATACACTGTTGATCTTATACTTGAACTATGTGCTGTAACTCAGCAAAGCATGTGCATTTCCCCCTCCAAATGCAACATTATTTCTATCTTCCTCAGACAGGATATGTAGTAACTCCAGTGATTGTTAAAAGCTTAATAAAAATGGCAAGTTATTTCCTAACCTATCTACATCTCCATAAAGGCAGTAAATACTGCCAGTGGAAACGCAGAGACACTGAAGAGACTTAACATAGCAATGGTAGTTAGGGTCAGTCACAATAGAACATGAAGTGTGGTCACACTTGTATGGCCTTCAACATGCTGCTTCATCTATTCAGCTTTATTTTTCTTCCATTCATTCACTTATTCACTCTCTCATTTACTCATTATCTGTGGTCTGCATTCTGTGTGTCAGGTACTGGTCTAGGTACAAGGGATACAACAGTGAGCCAAGAATACAGTTTGCTTTCTTGGGTCTTGTATTCCGATGTGGGGAGAAAGGGGGAAGACAAACACGAAGCCATAACATCTGGTTATTTTTAATCAATTTACTAGGGCAAATTAAAAGCAAAACTATCTTCTAATTCTATGTGCAAGATTTGTATTTAACTGCATTAAAATAAGGACCCTTTAATGAGCCTTTATAAATACACCATGAGATTATTCTGGTGCATTTCTTACAGCTGCATTCAGTGTGAACTAGAGACAAAGTAGAGAAAGAGGCAGGGCCTGCTCTACCTACTAATCACAGTGCTTGCAAAGGCCATCTAACCCTCTCCCTTCCATGCAGCAATATTTCTGAACCACTTCCTGGGTGAATGTAAGAAGCAAATGGGGCAAGCCATTGGGTAGTGGCTGGTTCACCCTCAGCACTGTGAGATACCAAGTCTAATAGTCCACAGTGACTGCAGGTTAAAGTGTCGTGATGTTAGTGACGATGAAGTATCAAATGAAGATGAGTACAGTCATTTCCCCTTAGTTTCTTTCCAGTTTCTAAAGGGATTAATTCAGTACCACTGACAATGAAAGAAAATATTTTAGATACTTGCCTGACTCTACACCTAAACCCCGTGGACAGACGCTTTTACCTGTGGGCTCATTCGTGTCCTCTGAGTGCCTCCAGCCACAGATATCCCCAGGTCAAGTCCACCAGTTGGAATAAACTTCACCTCAGTCTCCACAGCAACTCTTAATCAGTGTGGGTTTTGAACACTACTTTTTCTGTATGTACTTTGGCACCAACTTTAACATTTGCAGATGTATAAATGGTTGTCTTTAGTTGAAAATGAACAGATGATTGGTGAAACGAAACTGTGGATAGAATACATCTTTCTCCATTCTCAATCTGTTTTGGATTGAAGGCAAGAAAAGACCAGAAAAAGTTGGCCTAAATGTGAGAACAGTTGCCTTTAAAAATATATGTATCGTTAAGTATTCACAGGATGGCAAGAGGCCAGGAAAGCACTCAGTGGAGTTTTGCACTCCGCTCGCCACATCATATTGCAGTGTGTACTTTTTTCTGTCTTAAAGAGCTATCCTTGCTCCTGTGTTGAGAAACCTATTTGCACTTGAGTCTTTCTACTCTCTGTGAAAATATAATGGTTAAATGTGAAACAAGCAGATTTTTGATTTGAAGAGCATAAAAAGTAGACTAATAAATATTAAGCTAGCAGAAGCCTTTTCCCTTAAAGACCTTGCCCTTGTTAGGAATGACAGGCTGGTCCTAACCCAATGCAGCTGAAAGCTAATTGACTTTATAATTCCCTGAGCGTGGGAGAGAGGCTGGTAAAGAGACTGGGAACGAAATTATGCAAGGGATGGAATGATTCTGTTGTAACTGTGAGACTGAAAACTCCTTTCCACCTAAAGAAGACATATGTCATGATACAGCATTAAAAAGGGATGAACTGCTGGTACAAGCAATAACACAGCTGAATCTCAAGAGTATGTTGGACAAAAGAAGCTGGACACATGCAAATGTGGGATCATTCCATTGACCAGAATTCAAGAGCAATCAACACTGATCTATGGGATACTCAGAGCAGACACTGCCTAGGGGTGAGGAGTAAAGGGCATGAAGGAGATTTCTAGGGGATAACAGCACCCTATATCTTGATCTTGATGGTACGTATAGAAGTATATACATATCTGTCATTGAGCAAGATTTATACACTTTATAAAGTGTATTTCTTGGGGGGGTTGTTTGTTTATTTGTTTGTTGGTTGGTTGGTTGAGACAGGGTTTCACTGTGTAGTTCAGGGTGCCCTTGAACTGTCTTTGTAAACAAAACTAACCTTGAACTCACAGAAGTCCTCCTGCCTTGGCCTCCCAAGTGCTGGGAGGACAAACATGCACCACCATGCCCTGCTATCTCTTATTTATTTATTTATTTATTTATTTATTTATTTATTATTTGGTACAGGGTCTCACCACATAGCTTGGACTCAATGATCCTCCCATTTTCAGCACCCCAGCCCTGGGATTACAGGCATACACCACTATGCCTGGTCTCAGTGCACCCAGGGCTGGGGCCAGCATGGCATGTGGTACAGGGATTGAACTCTGATGCCTGTGCTTGCTTAAGCAGGTACTTAGTCCCCTGAGCTATCTTGCTGGCCGTATTTCATTTATTTTTGAAAGGCCATTATACTTAGAAGCCATTCAAGGACAATTTTGTAACAATAACAATGACAGATACATTTCAAACTTGTGCCTATGTGCCAAAAATTTTCACATAATTATTTCCCAATCCTTGCATATATCTTTGAGATCAGGTGAGGAAGATGAGGCTTGCCAAAGTTAAAGGTAAGGAGGTTGTCCATCTCCTCCCTGTTCCAAGAATGCAGGACACCAGCATGCCTCATCAGCAGTGTTTCTTACGGGTACATTGCTGGCACTTGGTCAGGACCTGTTTTCACTGTGGGGGTCTATTTTCTGACTTATGGAATGTGGGCCATCCCAGGAGCTCAGTGTGTTGATCAGAAACACCTCCACACACCTACAGATATCCCCAGGACAGTGCTGCAGACTTCAACACATTAGTGCCTATTGCATTTCTGGAGAATGGGACTCAAGCCCTGGTTAATTTTTAATTCACAGAGGCCCTGGAGTCCTAAGAAGGACACTGCTGGTACAGAATGGGACACTGGATTTGGTCCCCAGGTTAAGCCACTGTTCATGCATTGGCTTCCTTCCAGTTACACTCAAATCCATTCACTTTACCCATGGGTCCAGTATTGAGTATCCATAGTGTGGTACTGGCTTGGGGCTTGAGCCCACTCTGTCCCTAGAAGTTCCAACGCACCACCCATATCCTCTTCCTCTGTTCTTCCATGAGGAGGAAGTATCTGGGACTCCATTGGCCCCAGAACACAGAAGCTTGGCCAGGATCCCTACCTCCACCCCACACCCTCAGAAGTGAGACTCCATTGTTACTGGTGTCTCCAACAGCACATATGACTCTAGGTGAGATTGTTCTAGGTCACATGATCAGTGACTAAGTTAGGGTTTGGTTCAAGCTCTTCTTACCTCAAATCCTGCTCCTGGTCCACTACAACAGGGTTAAGCAATATAGTACATTGCCTCAAGAATGTTGGCACAGTATTAAATGGTTGTATTTGCATCTGTGCAAACTATTCTTGACTTTCCTAAAAATATTTATTGTCTGTTCCTTTACAGAAAAAAAATTGTGGATAAATGCATTACTATTATGCTCTGTCCCAGTTTGCAAACAGTAGAACTCTGATCAGGCTGGTGAACAAAATATTCTAAGTTTTTATTATAGTCAGCTGAGTTAGGTAGAAATAGCAAAGGCAGTCAGACAGGGCTGGGCCCTCAAGAAAGTCAACATAAAAGATGAAAACTCATCACAATTGTGGAGGTGCATCTGTTGGAGCCTAAGCCTCAAGATGAAGATGGAATGACCAGGCCTACATGCTTCCTCAAAGGATAAGATAAATCATATTAGCAATAATCGCACCTCAGATAAACCTCATTGTCTACAATACTGCAACTACACAAAGCTGTTAAGATAAATCATAGCACTTACGGTCCAATAAAGTCTGGATAGACATTAGGCACCTCAGTGAGTGACCAAGACCTCTTCCTGAAAAGTTCTTTGTTCTTTCCAAGTACACTTGCTTTTCCTATTAGACCAATATTACCTAAATGGCTACACTTACAGTCTTATTGATTGGTCACAGCTCTGGCTCATGTTGTACCCACCCACTCACTAAAACTGTAAGGTTATGAAGGTAGGGTTTTTACACACCATCGCCTTGCAGGAAATTTGACTTAACCAGGGGACTCAGATGAACATCCCATAAATAATAATAACAGTCAAAAAGACTTCCAGAACCTAAGTTTGTGCAAAGGCCATTATAACCTTACACAAAAGATCTTGCTGCAAGGACATTAGCTCAGCAGGTGTCTGTTCAACACTGAGCTGGTATTACCCTTGTTAATCCTTATAGGCAAAGATTACTGAGGAAGTACATTTTATGTAATACTTCTTTTGGTGCTAGGGATTGAACCCAAGGTCTTTGAACTGAGTTACACTACTAGCTTTTAAAATAATTTTTTTTTAAATGTTGAGACAGGTTATAACAAAGTCTGTAAGTTGCCTAAGTTAGGCTTGAATTTTCAATCTTCCTGCCTCATATTCTCAGAGTGCTGGAATTACAAATACCCACACAGCCAATCTTCCTCATTGTTGCCTTTTTTTTTCTTGGTAGCAAACTTTTATTTAAAACTTATATATCTCAAGCTTTATAAAAAGCTAACATTGTTGAAAATTAGATTCTCCCTCTAAAGCCTTAAGTATCCAAAGCTTGAAACAGTTAATTTAAAAATAAGCAAACAAAACAAAAACAAACCCTGCAGCAGATCCTGCTGAAATATTTAAAAAAAAAAAAAACTAAGTGAGCTTAATCTTTACAAAAGTTATTTTAGCTCAAAAACTATAAAATCAAAGTTATCTTAATTCCACAAAGAAGGGAGAGGGTCTTTAACTTCATGTCACCATTTTAGAACCTCATGTTTTTCATCAAATTTAGCCACAAATCAAATTTTTGTATGCCACTCTTCTCAGATCCTCTTGCAGAAGAGGCCAAGTACAAACATGCAAGAGTAACTGCCTAAGCAAGTAGGAAAGTGTTCCATAATAGTGTGCAAAGAACAGAGTTCTGGATTAATCTCTGGAACTTGATCTGGACCTTGACCTTGAAGGAGATCTAGAATGGGATCTGGAAGCTTTTTTTGGTGGAGGGAATACAGACCGAGGCTTTGAGTGTGGTACAGGTACAGGTGAATGGGAACGAGACTGGCTCCTTGATCTGGATTTTGACTTTATATCACCTTTTCCATTTTCTTTGGGGGACCGACAGCGAGAGCGACACCTGCTTCAGGATTTCTCCTATTCATCCTTAGCTCTGCTTCGAGAGTGTGAATGGGAGCCCCGATCAGACGTGGGCTTAGATTTGCTCTTGGACCTAGATTTCCTGCCTTTCTATGGAGAACGTGATTGACCTTTGCTCTGTGATGGATCGGGAGCGACTTTTCCAGACACTTTAAGATCCACTGCGGCTGCTCCTGCAACTCCCACTCCGTGACCTTCTAGAGCGTGACCTAGATCTGCTTCCTGAATATGACCACCTGTGGCTTGTTCATGGTTTACCTTCAATAAGCCAAATATTTCTGCCATTTATTTCAGTACCATCCAGCTTATCCAAAGCACGCTTCGTATCAGAGTAGGAACTAAATTCAATTACACCCTCATTTGTGCATGCTTTGTGAGCATCTGCATTGGTGACTTCTTGCCGCGTGAAATCCTTTAAATCTTGCCAACTGCAGCGACTAGAAAGATTTTCTACAGTAAGTCTGTATTCTGTACGAACAGGTGGTCCAAGTTTGTCTCTTCCAGAGGTTCTCCGACTGCTGTATCCACTTCCACCACTGCCGCTTCCATAGCTGTAGCCATCGCGACCGCGACGTGGATCCCGGGCGTGCTCCACCACGATCACGCGCTCGCTACAGAGCTCTTTGCCGTTCAGCTCGCAAACAGTATCGTTGGCGTCGCGGGGGTCCTCGAACTCCACCAAGCCGTACCCATTTTTGAGGTCTACTTCGAAGAGGCTGCCGTAGCCGCTGAAAAAAGCGCTGGATATCCATATCCCGGACGGGGTAGCAGAGGCATCCTATGCAGACGCGCGGCCTGTCCGTGGTGAACCCGGTCCCGAAGGCTTGTTCTCCAACAGCGGACCGCAGCACGGGAGCCGCGGTGCGGGTGCGGGGACGGCGAAAACCCGAACTCGCGCCTGACACAGCAGCGGCGGCAGAGTCCAGCCACACAATGGCCCATTGTTGCCTTTAAAATTTCATTTTTGGGGCTGGGGAGATGGCTCAATGGAATAAGCGCTTCCCTGGCAAGCGCAAGGGCCTGAGTTCAATACCCTGCTCCGCCAGAAAAATAAAATTTCATTTTTCCTTCAACCTTTTTAATTAATTAATTTTTAAATTTTGTCTTTTTTAAAAAATTTTATTTATTTATGTGTATGTGTGGCCAGCTCAGCCCACCAGGGGGCGGGGCTGGCTGGCATGTGGTGCTGGGGGATTGAACTGCGGTTCCTGTGCTTTGCTAAGCTTGTTCTAAGTAGGTGCTTTAGACCACTGAGCCATCTCACCAGCCCAATTTTGTCTTTTTGAGATAGGATTTCATTATGCATTTCAGGCTGCCCTTGAATCACTTTTTAACCTGGGCTGACCTCAAACTTGCATTCATCCTCCTTTCTCAGCCTCCTGAGTGCTTAGATTATAGGTATACACCACCACACCCAGCTGCTTCAAGCTTTTTTGTTCTGTTTTGTTTTTTGTTTTTCCATGCTTCAAGCTTTTTTTAATACACTCATGCTTAACTATGGCACATGTTTCCATGCTTTTCCCACATGTTTCCATTGCATGCTTTTCCCACATAAGTGTCATTATCCTTTAGAGAAACTCTTTCTGACTTTTTAAGCTTGACAGTGACTCGATGGGCAGCTTCTACATTGACCTGATTGACAAGGAAATAGATATTGGCCCAGCTAGGAGGCAGGCACCGAAAGAAAGTTCACTATCTAGCTGGAATGGAGAAGGTGGAGTCCAACCTAGGGAAGCAAGAGTCAAGTTCTAGGATATTCAAAAAAGAGAAGAGTGTGAACATCTACTGAGAAGACTCTGTGGTGTAATTTGTTTATCCTGTTTATAGTAAAGAAATTAAAGCACAGAATCAAGATGGGACATGGAATGTTTGAAAAACAGCGAGGAGCCTGATATCTCTGGCAAAAAGGTGGATGCTTACCTGAGATGCTCTTAGTGGCCAGGAGGAGCCAGATCCTGAAGTGTCCTGCAGACCATTGCCTTAGGCTGTGCCCCTGAGAAGCAAAGCCTGAGGCAATGTGAGATACAATAAAGGTGGCCATAACTCATTGTTAGCTCATTGCTATCCTTCCAGTGGTGAGGTAACCCCTTCATTCTGGGCAGGACTAACTGACCTGCCAGGCCAACAGTGGTAAAAGTGACATCCTGAAAGTCCTGAGACTCAATTCCAAGAAGCTTTGCTGCAGCAGTCTGGGTCTCCTAGAACACCCTCTCTATGGGAGTTCTGAGCCCTCCTGAAAGAGCTCACATGACCCTAACCTGCCATGCTGGCTTTCGAGGTCCTGGCTCCAGTTGAGTCCAGCCTTCCTGCCTGTCTTGTTTACTCTTCTCTCCTTGCTGGGACAAATACCCCACACCCAAAATGAAGGAAGGAAGGGTTTATTTAGTTCACAGTTACTGGAGACTTCAGTCCATACTCAGCTGGCTCCAAGGCAGAGTGGCACATGGCAGAGAGCAACCTTTCATGAAGGTGGTAAAGAGCAGAGAGCAAATGGGAGGAGTAGTAGCAACAATGGCAACAAAGAGCAAGTCTGTCTCTCTGACTCTCTTATGTTACATTCAGGCTATCTGCCCCAGGCTAGGTGTAGCGCTCACACCCATAATCCTATCAGTACTAAAACCCATAATCCCAGCCATGACCATGAATTAATCTCAACTTCTAGAAGTCCCCGCCCCATGACTGTATGAGGCTTTGAGGAGATAACTAGACACAACCCGTAACACTGCCATGTCTGCTGCTCTGCTAAATTACCAGACAATGAACAAAGTTGTCTTGGGTACTCTATACTTGCCCAACTATTTGTTGGATCCCATAGAGCAGTGCTGGTGAACCCATGGCACCTGTGCTGCAAGAGGCTGTTTGTATCATTGAAAGCTCTAAAAGGTTCTGCATCAGTGCCATAGAGTAAACCTCAGTTGATATCACATGGGACAGAAGAATTACTTGCTTAAGCCCAAATTCCTGACCCAGGAAGTTGGAACATAAAATGGTTTAGTCATTAAGTTTTGAGGTGATATTATTTCTCTAGGACTCCCACGACAAAGTAGCACAAACAAAAGAAATGTATTGTCTCATCATTTTGGAGTTCAAAATCTTGAAGTCAAGGTATTGGCAGGGTCCTTCTTTCTCTAAAGGCTCTTGGGGAATCTATCCTATAGCTTTTTCTCAGCTTCTTGGGTTATCAGGAATCCTTATCATTTCTTGGTTTTAGATACATCCATCCACTCTGTTTCTGGGGTCTCATGGCTTTCCCACTCCCTGTGGTCTCTTCACATGTACTTTCTCTCTGCTCTTATTAGAAGGACAGCTGTCATATTGGATCAAGGCCCACCTAATCCAGTGGGAGTGCAGCTTAACTTAATGGTGTACATCTATAGACTCTTTCCATGTAAGACATACTAATAGGTGCCAGATATTAAAGTGTTTACATTTTTAGGGGTGAGGACACAATTCAACCACTACGGTTGCTAAAACACAAAGATTTTAATAGAAGTATTTTATTTGAGGGATGAATCTAGGAAACTATGGAGCCAGGATTGGGGGAAGGGAAAGTGAGCAGAGAAAGGCCCAGGAGCCAACGTCTGTGTGTTATGATTGTACAGAGAGCCCTGGGCTACTATGGGCAATTAGAGTCAATTCCTCCGAGGAGGAAATCTGGGAGCCAAGTATATAGAAAATACCTCAAAGTGCTTCCTTTTCTCCACTCTTCCTCCTCCTCTAGGAGTAGAAAGGTAGAGATTTTGTTTTTCACCCATCCATCACCACTGTGGGCTACTCTCTGAAAGTATCAGTCTCAGGCAAGGCAGCCCACTGCCCACAGCCAGAGGTCTCTCCAGTGCAGCAGGGGCCCTGAGGGACAGCACTGGGACATGTACCATCTTGTTACAGCTGTGCTACATTTCTTATTCTTGAGTACAGCCAGAGGAACATTACTCAGATGGTAGAAAGGCCAGAGGAATTTTCACAGTAGGTGAGTCTTAGGCCTACTTTTAAGTTATTTGGAGTTTCTGTCATGTAAACTGCAATGAAAAGCTGCTAGTGCACAGCAAGTAAAGTGCAAGAAATGATGCACAAATGGAATTTACAGGAAACAATAAGAAAATGCCAGAAACAACCTTGAGAAAATGGGACCCTGAGAATTGGTGGGAAATGCTTTGGAGTTAACACATTCACTTATTAGACCAGTCACTTGCATTACTGTGATACTATTCAATCATGTAGCACTTTATAATCTACCAAACACTTTTACTAACATCAGACTATTTTTATCTTCATGCACCAAGAGAGGTTAGGTGTCTTACACAAGGTCATATGAGGGTCAGAGTTGGAGGTAAACTTTGTCTCCTTGTACTAGAAGTCAAACACATGACTACATTACTCCTATGTGTGCAAATTCAGTATCTGAGCTTTCAGCTATTTAAGAAGTTCAAGCAATGCAATAATTTGACACTTTCACCACATCACAGATGAGAACCCCTGATTATGGAAGGCTGATTTGAAGGAGGGAGCACTCAGCAAATGAGTGAGCCCAGTGTTACTGTTCTGTGCAGTGGTACACAAGGGGGAAAATTGTAGATTTGGAAAGTCTTGGGACCTATCAGTGGTAAAGGGCAGATGGATGAAACTTTTCTCCTCTACTACATATTTCCAACAGGTGGTAGTATTCCTAAGGAAAAAATAAAAGATTCCAATTTTTCAGGTCTTCCATGGTTAAAAGCATGAATGAAGCAGAAATATGGGTTTGGAATGGTATATTTCCACTATTCTTTCTCTGTTTAAGCTGTTGCTATGACAACTAATCCAAAATATCCTAACTCCTTTCCCAAGGGACTGCTCTTATGGGAAAACATGCAGTGATGCTCAAGTTAGAAATCCAGTGTTGCCACAGTGGACTACTTTTAACTACTTTTTTTGGATTGACAGAGGGATTTATTAACAGTTCTGGTTAGAATTGAAGCAAAAATTTTTATATGGACCTTAATTAAGATGAGCAGAAAATGACATTTAAAATTTAAAATTCTCTGTAATATAGATGCGTATAAATCAGGCTTATAGTATGGGAAATATATCTTTTTTAATTCTAAATATAATCAAGAGCTAGGGCTTTAGCTTAGTCATACAGCACTAGCACAATATGATCAAGGTTCTGGGTTAAATCTCCAGCACTGCAAAAGGATTTCAGAAATATAACCCAGAGAGCATTGATACAAGATATAACTTAGCTATCCAGATGCATTATGTCCTTTGCCCCCTCCTTTCTGTAAGTAGGTTCCCTATGTCCTGACCCAAAGGTAAATTTCCAAAAACTTAACACCAAATGTTCTATACTTTGTGAAACCAAATAAGTGGGATTTGGGGTGGATTCTTTCCTTCCTTATTCTACTTTTACATATTGTTTGATTTTTCAAATTAGGAGTATGCATTAAATTTCAAAAACAAAAAAGTGATGACATATTGTTACTGTTTCCATCAGAGTCCAAATGAAAAAAGAAGAACCTTAGAAACTGTGGACTACAGCATCTATTATGGGAATTAGACCTCCCATAATGTGAGAGGTTCTAGAGAACTGAGAGCTTGAAAGGCAGCTGGGAGACCAGAAGAGCCATCAATCAGTCAGCCCAAGTGGCAGGGCACACCCAACCTCCAAGATGGGACCACCAGCAGCTGGGGAAGAAGGCCTGCCTTCACAGCTGGCATCAGGACCCGAGCCTGGGGTGCCACTGGTACACAGGAGATAGAA